TCTCTTGTATTGCGAGGTACTCTTCGACGATTGGGAGAAAATGCTCAGTGCGTGGTGCTTTCTCAAAACCAGAGCAGAGCATGATGAGTTGAGGGAAATTGAGATCGTGCGTACTCGCGATTCTTTTGCTTCAGTCCATGCTGGTGTCAGATGTGCCGAGATGGTGGTCAAGATCAACCACTATTTAGCCACGATCCGTTTCCGCGAAGCCTCTTTGACAAAGCTGGAGAATCAAGTGGATGATGTGCACCACTTGGCAGAACAGGTGGGACTTCTGGCAGGCAGTTTGCAGGTAGATCCTTTGCTTGTGTCTGGGCGACCCGCACAGCAATCACGATTGGTGGTCGGTGTTGTTGCTTTGCTTCGGATCAGCTCATTACTGGCAGCAGTGTACCTTGGGGGGCAGTACTTTGTGCGGTACAGTCCACCTTTCATCCGTTCCAAGCTTCCACAATTGATCCGAGATGCCTTTGCTCTCAAGCAGACAGTTGAGCCCAGTGATGGGAGATCGCCGGAGGCTGTCGCTGCTGATTCTGGATGGTTGGAGGAGAGCCTTTCGCAGCTGTTGCCTTCCCTTGTTTTCTCTTTGCCATACCTGGCCTTGATCATCGTCCTCCTGAGCGACTTGCGCCGGTGTCGGTCAGCCAATATCAAGTTGAGACCGTTGAAACCCACCCAGCTGCTCTACGAGGAGTATTTTGGCATTGAAGGCAAGCTCTACGGCTTCAAAGTTGCAATGCTGCAGTTATTCACAGTGATGCTACAGGCCTTTGGAAAGCTCCAAATCATGGGTGGCCTTGTGTCATTTGCATTCCATTCAGCTCCAAAGCATTCAGATGCGTTTGAAGGATGTTATTGGGCTTTTGTGGGTTTCCTATGTCTGAACAGCATCTATCCAACCATTCTGTTGGCCTTCCCCTCGGTGAAGTGGGTGCGCCGGGGTGCTGCGATGATGGATGCGGTTCTTGATATTGCTTACACCAGCACATACCTCATCATCACCTTGCTGGCCATCTACGAACTGCAGCTGGGCCAAGCCATTTCAGGAAATTTCGGGGATGAGGCTTCGGTGAACTTCCAAGCAGAATTGGACCCGGCATTTGCGTTCCCAGCTGACTTTTTTGGTTTCTTTGCTGTCTACTATTCACTTGCACATGTTTGCACTGTTTGCCGCGCCTTAGAGCGAAGCGATCGATCGACCTACTGGAAGAAGTTGCAAAGCTTACCGAACTCTGCTTCCCAGTCACTGCTGAGCCCATCGAGATTTTCTTGCTCAAAGAGGTCCAGGATATTTTGCAAAGCATTGCGTTTTGGCTGCATTAGTTTAGTTCTATGTCGTTTCGGCAATTTTCAAGCCATTGTGGTTTCGTAATCTGTTGCCATTGTATTTCCATTTCGAGTAAACAAGTTGGTGCAGAGAAGGCCTGTTATTTTTCCAGCTTTGTCTTTTTGCTCAACATGCTGAACATTTGTTTTGGGACTGGAAGCATGCGCCACTTATGACGTTCTTGTCCCCAAACAGGGTTCCAAAGGTTTCCTGCAGGTGCAGGTGCCAGGGTTCGCAGTTTTGGTTGCAACCATACGGTTCAAGGTTGCAAAGTACCAGCGTTCCAAGGTTCCAGAATTCTAAGGTTTCAGAAGTGGCCGGCTGCTAGCGGTTTCACATTTTTGTCCACACTGTATTTTTTGCAAAATCTTGGGCTTGGGTGGTGTTCCCTCCACAGGCAGTCCCTCATTAAAACTTTGGATTCCTTTCACATCTTCAATGCCCAAAACTTTGAGAATCCTTGAGACCTGGTTTCTGTTTTGTTATGAGTTTTTCCCATGCTGTAGTGGCCAGCCTTTTCGTCGCATCGGGCTGTGACGGATTTCTTTGCTTGACTTCTTGGCAGCCGCTGCAAAGGTATTCGCCCTGCTTGCTGGTCACGATAGGTTCCAAGGTTTCAGAAGTTTATCCAGCTGTTGGTTTGTCCAAAAGTGCAAATTAGGAATTTCTCCAAGCATCCGGGATGCACCAGTCCCAGACCATTGAAACCCAACAAGCACTGCCGGAATTGAAATTTTGTGGTTGATTCCAAACGACTACTTTGGACATCTGTACCCAGCCACCTGAGATTTGGGTTTCGTCATGAAATTAGTTTGAGCCATGCTGTCGTGACCCCAGTGGGGCGTGATGGATGTGTTCTGTTTGATTGCTTGTTTTTACAACTGCCACTTAGGTATTCGCCCTGTTTGCTGGTCACGATCCTTGCTCTGCTGCTTTCGACGCACTTCTACCCGATTCACACAGCTGATTTCGGATGCTTTCCGTGCCGTTGTGGCCCAAAGAAAGATGGTACACAGCACCTTGCGAGTTGCAGCCTTGTAGGTGTTCTGAGCTTCAAAGACGTGAGTTTGAGTGAGCAGGACATCACAAGTGTTGCAGGGGATGCCTTCACCCCTTTATGGGGCTTGCAACGGTTGTCGCTCTCTGGGAATCGGTTGTCTGTTTTGCCTCAAAATGTGTTTGCCCCATTGGAGAGCCTGCAGCTCTTGGACCTGGGCCGCTTGGGTTTGCAACAGGTGGAGTCAGACACGTTCACGGGCTTGTCAAACTTGAAAATCTTGTCGCTGAGCCAAAACCAATTGAGGGTGTTGCCAGAAGACTTGCTGCGCCCGATGCCAGCCCTGGAGAAATTCTTGCTGGGGGGCTATACTGAAGCCAATATTGGTTTCAGACGGATATATGGAAACGAGCTGAGCGTGCTGTCTCAAGAGCTTTTGCAGCACAGCCCGCGGCTACAAGTTCTCGATCTGAGCGAAAACAAGTTGACCTCGCTGCCAAGCGGCATCTTTGATAAGACTCCTTTGTTCTCGACCTTGCCTCAAACAAACTGACTGAATTGCCAGGCGAAATCTTTTCAGGGCTCAACAAACTCCAGGAGCTGGACCTGAGGTCCAACGAACTCAGCAAGTTGCCTGCTGAAGTCTTCTCAGGTCTCAGCAGCTTGCAGAAGCTCAACCTGGGGTACAACTCGCTCACTCGGTTGCATGCGGGAGTCTTTTCAGGGCTCATCAACTTGCAGGAGCTTTACTTGTATCACAACGATCTCAGTGAGTTGACTGCTGAAGTGTTTGCAGGGCTCAGCAACTTGCAGGAGCTGGACCTGCAATACAACGAACTCAGTGTGTTGCCTGCTGAAGTCTTCTCAGGGCTCAGAAAGTTGCAAGATCTCAAACTGGGGAACAACAAACTCGGCCAGTTGCCTGCCGAAGTGTGGGCCCATCTCTTTGCAGGTCTTAGCAACTTGCGGAAGCTGAACCTGAGGTCCAACAAACTCGGCGAGTTGCCTTCTGAAGTCTGGTCCAACTTATTTGCAGAGCTCAGCCACTTGCAGCTGCTTGACTTGAGCAAAAACGATCTCAGCAAGTTGCATGCTGAAGCCTTTTCCACGCTGGGAAACCTGCAAATACTTTTCCTCGATGAGTGCAGGCTGAACGAGTTGCCTGTCGAAGTCTGGGATAATCTGTTTACGGGGCTCGGCAGGTTGCAGGGGCTCTTGCTGAGTGACAACAAACTCGGCGAGTTCCCCCCTGAAGTCTGGGCCAATATGTTTTCAGGGCTTGGAAGCCTGCAAGAGCTTTGGCTGTGGGGCAATGGTCTCAGTGAGTTGCCCGCAATTTGTTCGGATATAACGTGTTTCAAACGGTGAGATGGTCAACTGAGATGTCCGGCTATGCGGATGAAGGATTCTTTTTTTGTTTGTTTCGGCGAAAATGATGGGGTGCTCTGCCATCTGCCCGCTTGATAGGGTTGTGGTCATTTTTTTTTCCATATTGTGACGAGGCTAGGACTGATTCCTGGGTATAGATTTCACAGTTCACCTACTTCCAACAACCCCTTTGAATCATTTTGAATCTAGTTGCAATGCATTTCATATGGTTTGTCCTCATGAAATTTATTGCATTCTATTCTTGTTTCGCTATTTTTGGGGCGTTTTGAGAGTAGCACCTGCGTTGGGCGACCAAGGTCCAAGGTGGCAGTGGCACCTGGCGCGCAACTGGAGAGACGTTTGCAGACCGAGGCATCGGAATGTCCAGTCGAAGTCATCACAGTTGTGAAAGTCTTCAGTCGAAGTCTTCATGGTGTGATCTCTGTAAGTTTTCAACCTCCATTGTTGGGATGTCTTCCCCGGTATTTACAGCTTGCCTCTGCTTGGAAACTCGTTTTCAGTCTTTGTAGGGTTCCAGATTGGCCCTCTTGTGGTGAAAGACTTCCAACAAGGAAAAGACAGAGTCTGAAGGGAGCAGAACAGAAGTTGTTTCTTTGAAAAACGTGGAAAGAAACCGCTGAGACAGGTGTAACCACTGTGTCGACCACGTGAAGCGCTGAGTGCTGCCATTCGGCACGCTGCGCCTTGGACCAGGCACCAATGGCTCCAAATGGGAACATCACGCCGAGAATTTTTGAGTTTCGACAAGTTGTGGGTGTATGGCCATCCCTTTTAAGAACATGACAACATCATACAGCATAACACCATCTAACACCATTTGAATCCAGAATCTGGTGGGGTCGGTCCATTGGATCAAAATCCATGGCTTAGCTTGGAACAAGGTGCCTGGACTTGACCCTGAAAGATCTCAAATGTTTTGGATTGTTTTGGTGCATCGCTTGAGGAAAGCGTTGCAGATAGTGACAATTGCCAGGGTTTCTACCATGGAGGATGATGCAGCAAGGGTTAGGGTTTATCCATGTTATCAATGCCAGAACTTGTATGGAAGTTCAACAATGTTCGACACCTTCAAGTTGAGATGGTTTCCATTGTTTGCGGTCTTTACACCACTCAATGTGTGGACCGATGAAGGACAACCATGTGACTCTTCCGCAAGCTGCTCCATATTACCGGCTTTTCGCATGTGCACACGCCATTACACAACTTGTGTGGGGATTCCGATATTTAGACACCAGTCATATCCTGATAAAGGGCGCCTTATCCAAAAGTCCCCCGTTTGCTGGGACTATGTCCCCGAAATGGGCTTCGCACGGGGAAAACGATGAGGGCTTCATCCCAGCGCTGCAGGAAAAACTCACGGCAGCGGCTCGAACGCCCAGCACTGCGCGTTTCGAGAGTCGTGGGGTGAGGACATGGCCAGGGATTTAGAGTTGATACCAATTGACATACTACTAGTAACACGATATTTTTTTATCATTAAAAACAACGGGGTTATGACCTTGATTATCATTGGCAGCAACATTTCTGGAACATCTGGAAGATTGCCATACATTTCCATCATCTTTCAAGCACTATGCGGCCCATGGATTGTGGACGGGTCAACTGCATTGAGAGATGTTGAGGCCCCGGGTGCAGGTGGCAAGTACTTCCAACCCCAACATGTATCCTTCGGTTGTCCTGGTGATAGGAAATCCTGCTTTTACAGTTGACTTTCCTATTGAAACATTGGGTTTCCATGGCCAGGCTACGCTATTGGAGGATGTACATTTCAGAAATTGGATTATAGATGATCATAATATGACTTAACACAGAATTTCTTTTGTTTTGTCTCTTTAGGATCTTGTAGAATCCTTTAGGGTTCAGGGGTGAAACGAACTCAATGCCCATCATTTTGCTGTCAGTCGAAGAGCTGCAGGACTTCTCGGCCTTGGTCCTAGACGAGCACGGAAACCAAGCATGAAATATCTTTGATGACGGATGTTCCATCGTCTAGCATATATCTATATACAGATATATATATATATAATAATAATATTGTATATAATACATTTGAACATCCAGTGTTGCTATTTGGACATAGCTTGCTTTCGAAGGAGTTCTGCAAAGTGGTTGTGGTTCTTTTCCTTTACCGTGTGGGCCGTGACTGCGTTGGTTCTTTTGGAGGTGCCCAATTTGTGTCTCCGTAGCTTGCTTTCAAGACGGACCTGCACGGCATCTGCATTCTGCGGTGCCACTCACCTTGACATGAAACGCTGGCCGCTGGCCAGACTGATCAACAAACAGCCAAATCTCATGTTGCGCAAGAGCAAGTTTTTGATAAACCATCGATATTAAACCTGTGTATTGTTCCAGACTGCACTTAATTCGTGCCGCTGGACAGCGCAAAGGACTCGCTGCCTCATGTCGGTTTCTGTGGATAGTCCCGAATTTGGTCACTTCGACATCCCGTTGACTGCTTCGAGCACTGCAGCTGACATCATTCTACTGCTACGTGAGCGTTTGCCAGACAGCCCATGGCATGGGAACAAGTTGCTGTCAAGTGGGGTCTGCCAGCTACAGTGCGATGACATTGTGGAGGCAACCCGCCACAGCACTTTAGTCTTGACAAACTACTCAGAGATCACCAACCAGGAGAGAAACCTGCAGCTTTGTTTCTTTTTTCAATAGGTAATGCAGACCATGCCAGGTCCTCCGCAGCCAGTAGCAAATCACGATTAGAAACTAAATGCCAACAAGTACCAATTGCGACAAGTGCAGCAGTGTGATGGACCGATTCATTTTTTTGTTTTGGGATTCAGTGGTTTAAACGGGTGTTGAACTGGTGAGATCTACTTGATAGTGGGGGAACAGTCGGCCACTGAACAGGCGCCTTTGCGCATTGAGACCATGTGAAAGAAATATAACCGATAGGATCAAATCGAATAAAGAGAAACCGTATTTAAAAGTCAATCGTTTGAAATTCAGAGATTGCAGGCCCATGATTCCCATGATTGCACCTTTTTGAGGGTACTGCATAATGCTTTTTGAATTCCATTCCAATTTCATTTGCTGCAATTGTTGGTCGCCCCACACACGGCAGAGGAGACTTTCTGCATCAAAGATACTGCAGAGCGAGGGATCACTCGCGAGCAATTGGCAAAGATCGTTGTTTTCATCTCCAAGATGGCTGACAGATGGTGCGAAACGTTCGGAGAACAGCGTGGGACAAGGCTGCAGTTTGAGACCTTCAACTTGTATCAAGCGAATCATTGGATCATCAAACCAGCCACCGAAGCCTGGATTTGTTGATGATGTGACAGCATTTTCCAATTTGAAGAATCTACCGTTTTTCTTTTTTTAATTGGCCCCATTATGCAGAATCCCAGGAGGGCTATGCGAAAAAGGGCTGCAGCATGGTTGAGATCATGGCGATTCAAGTGCAGAGACCTCACTGGTTTGTGTCACATGCTTGGATCGAGCCTTGGATAGGCAAACTCTCAAGGTTGTTTGAGACCGTGCTATTGCATTGTCTGTCAGCAACAAATTTCTTTTTCTGCTAATAATTCACATTCCCCTAGGAGCCTTGGTTGAGTTTTGGACTTCATGTCGGACCATCAATAGGACGCTGTATCAAGTATCAAAAAATAATGAGCATCCAGCGTAATGATAGATGAAAGTCAATCTATTGCTTTGAAGCACGTCCAATTTTGTGTTGGGCAGATCTGTGAGGAGCCTGTTTGTAAGTTTCTGGCCTGCTTGGAGCAGCATGCTCTGGTGCGAGAACTCTCAAGCAGTACATTCTATTGGGTCTGTGCATATGCCAACAACCAGCACTGCGTGGAAGAGGATATCAAAAGCAACCCACGCAGCACTTCATTCTACAGAGCTATGCAGATGTCTGAGGGAGTTCTTTTGGTGCTGGATTCAGCTGGAACGCCTTTCGAGCAGCTATCTGGACAACCTCCGCGCGGTGGCTGCGGGTCTATGCATTGCTGATGGGCCTTGGCAGTGCTTAGAAACGAATTGTTCAGATGTGGTGCTTGCAAGTTTCGATTTGCTTCAGAAGATTTGGGCTGTGTCTTCAAAAGAGCGGAACGCATTGATGCATGCCATGCATGGCAATGGTGCAGGAAGCAGAGCAACAGCTCGCAAAAGGAAACAGAAACAAAGCAATAACCAAGCAAATGGCTTCAATTTGCAACAAGCAGGTGAGATTCTCAAACTACTCTCTCAGCTTTTCCAATTGTTGGGACTCGGGGGTGGCGGTGGGAATTTGCTTCAACAGCTCAGTGCTATGATGGGCCATGGCGGGTGTGCCAAACCCAAGAAGACTAAGAACAAGAACAAAAATAAACAGGGCGGTGATGGTGGTCTGGGGGATTACGGCCAAGGGGGTGGTTATTACCCTTCTTCTCCTCCTACTCAGCCTCCGCAGAATACTTCGAAACCACATCCTAAGCAAAAGGCGGACGTCCAAAAACAGCCACACACAGAGCAGCAGCCCCACAAAACGCCCAAGACCTTTGCTGAAGTGGTTCGAGCCAACACTGCGTTTAAGCCGGTGTGGAGCCTGCGTCAGTCAGACTGGACGGGGCCCATTTTGGGCTTTGATGACTTTTGTGTCGCACTGGATAAGCCTGGAAATATTTCAGCTACAGTGCAAGTGAACTCGGAAGAGCAACTTGAGGAGTTGCAGGTTTTGCTGAAAGGCGATTCCCCTGATATCAAAAGAGAGCTCAACATCACAGCTGTGATGCTAGCGCCGAAAGAGGCCAAGCAGACTGAAGAGGATCGACCTTTGCGGATGGTGCCAGGAAAGATCTCGGGCAAGGTGCAGCCCAGGCAGGCGTTTGTGATCCCACTTCAAGGCCAAGGGCCATCACTCAAGAGAGCTGCCGTTGTGTCAGCGGCTCCTGCAGTGCAGCCTGAAACTGTTGTAGTGAGATTAAGTGTCGATGCAAAATATTTGCAAAACAACGAGTGGCAGAGCATCCAGGCCAAGCCAAAGGCAAACGCGCAGGCTTGGTTGCATCGGCATGTTCCAGAGCATGTTGCGGACAAAGTCTTTGATATGTGGGCGTTTCAGCAAGAAAGCATGAAAGGCGGAGGCAAGCCAGTGATCACTGGCCTTTTACGCATTGAGCGTAGTGCTGCCAAAGCTCTTCTAGGCTGCTCAGGCAAAAGTACCTGGTTTGTGGAGCCTTTGCAATGGAACAACTCCGTGGTTGAATCTTGCGATGTTGAGTGGGTCAAGAAAAGTTCGGAACTTGATGGGCCCAGCTACTTGCAGAAGGTTCAGTCCATGGCTGGTGCCCGGGGATGGAATGGACTGGGAGTACGTAAGCCCAGGAGCACCGAGCCTCCTCCTAAGGCCAGAGCTTGGCGCGTCACTGGTGTTCCGCGAGATTGGGCGGCTAGTACCTTGACTCAGGAACTTACACGTGCTGGCCTGACTGAACTCAAGGTGTTGTCCCGTAAAACTGTGGGCAAACAAGTGGAATGGTGGGTGCAGGCCAATGCCCAAAAGGATATGGATTTCATTGAAATGCAGGCTGGCGAAAAAGTCATTGTAGCTGTTGAAGCTCCAAGACAAAGACGGCAGAGAACACATACCATGAAACTGGCTAGCAATGGAAGGGTCAGTTATAACCAGAGCCATGCATGGCAGGCGATTGCCACGCCTGCTCCTCGCAAATCTTTCTACATGGGAACGCCAGTCAAAAAGCCAGTGACTATTGCAGGGGCTGAGAAGGTTCCTACTGAGAATTTGGATGAGGACAAGTCGGACGCAAAGATGGACAATGCTGGAGAACCCGCTGGGGCAAAAAGAACTGTCAGTACTCCTGAAAAGAGTCCTCCGGCCAAGCGTGTTGCGGGGGAACCCAAGCCCCCTCACAATATGAAGGTGAAAAGCATCCCTGCTGACGGCAACTGTCTTTTTGAAGCCCTTGCTCAAAGTTTGGGCGGAAAAACAGCCAGGAATGTGCGTGCAAGCGTTGTCACCCACCTGACCAAGCACCAGGGTCGTTACAAGCCCTGGTGGGACGGCAAGGAGCCAACAGAGGCGGAGAATGCTTGCGAATCATGGGAGAGCTATCTCACCATGCTCTCAAAGATTGGTGCTTGGGGCAGTGCTCTTGAAGTTTCTGCTGCGGCTGTGCACTACGATCGCCCGATCATTGTCTTCCAGCCTCGTGGTGTTCCGGAGATTTACAATGGTCGTGGCAAGGGTGGTGCTCCCATCGCTTTGTGGTTTCGTTCAAAGCATTATGAACGACTTGAAGGTGCTTTCCCGCCTGAAGTTTTGACTCAGGCTGCAAATGGTCCAATGCAGGGCAACAGAGGTGGAGGATCGGAAAGTGGCGCTACTTCAGTTGGTGCCACCAGATTGTCAGCTTTGCCGTCACTGGTTCATAGCAGCAAGAAACGTGGAAGGTGTGCTAGCCCCGCGCCCGCTTCTTCTTTGTCAGAGCAGCGCAAGAATTCTTCTTCCCCTGCGGCTGCTAGTTCGGGTCGGGGTCCGTGCACGCCACGTGCAGCCAGTGAAGGACAAGACGCAGCCAGTGCTTTGTCTAGACGCACTAAGCGTACTGAGTGGACATGCCCTTTGTGTGACTTTTCCACTGGGGTGTGCAAAGGATGGGTTGACAAGAAGAGAGCTCATATCAATGCTTGGCATCCCGATGAGAAGGAACAGTTGAAAATCGGCTTCAAAAACACTTTGCCTGCGCTGTCTGCAGTCAAGAAGGGAGGAGTCTATAGCTGGAAGTGTCCTGTTTGCAAACTTGGCTTGTCCGCTGATCACAACCTCAAACCTGGCCAAGTGTACAGCGTCATCCGCAAGCATAGGGAAGACAAACATCCTCAGGCAGATGCCAAGCTCTTCCACAAGGACAGCAGCTTCAGACGGGAGAATGCTAGCAAAGCCACGCGCCAGGTGCGTGCAGCTGCAGTGGCTCGAAGGTTGCTTGGCTTCAAGCGTGGCGATGCTGGAGCACATGACCCCACTTTCGTTTCTATTCCAGCCACAGGAAATGGCAAACAGAAAAGAGTTGGAATGTCCTACGTCATTTGCAAAACTTGTGGCAGTATGGCTTTGACAGCGAAGCGTTTGGCAAAGATTGCTTGTGAACAGTATGCTTCCAGCAAAGGGCCCAAACGAGAGCAGTTGGTGGAAAGATTGCGTGCGTGCCTCAAAAATGCAGACATCAGCGATGACCTCAAGAAGGGTGCCCGCACAGTTTTGGAAATCATCGACTCTGGAGCAGTTCGCACCACTGATACTGCTGCAGACAGCACGCATCAGATTGAGGCCATTGTGCTCCAAGTGCCAGACAGCGAGCTGCTTCGCGAGCTTTGGACATTTTGGGATTGCAGCAGGATGGCGCTGTGGATCAGAACCCATGACGGGCTCTGACAGCACTATGCGGTTGGGGACTATGAATGTACGGTCCTTGGGAGGCCGCTTGGGTGGTGTGCTTGACTTTGCTCAGCTCCAGAATTTACATGTTCTGTGTCTTCAAGAAACTAGAGTTAACAATCACAGCTGGAATGCTGTGACTCGTGCCGTCAAGGCACGTGGGTGGCAACTTTTTCCTGGCCCTCAAGGAAGAAATTCGAAAAATGTAGTGGAAGGTGGTACATTGGTTCTAACAAAGTGGCCTGCTGAGGCCTTGGCCCTTCCTGTCGACATGGTGTCGGTGGAAAGATCCATGGTCGTCAAACTCTATAGACCTCAGCAAAGGCCGTTGATTCTCATCAATGTTTACTTACATGCTTCAGATCGCACAGCTGCCAGCCGTGCGCTGGGTGCGCTGTTCGAGTTTGTTGCTGCTGGTGGTGAAGATACAGTGATCATGGGTGACTTCAATTTGGAAATTCATTGTTGGCCAATTTCTAACGTTTTGGCTACTGGACAGTGGCGGTCCTGTGATGAGCTGGTTTGCGGAGATCGTGTTTTAGGTGGTACACATCGAACTGCTGCAGGTGTTTATACAGGTGTGGTCATTGACTATGGCTTGTGCACTCCTCGGTTAATTATTACTGGTAGGGAGCAACATCTTGGCGTGGCTGACCATGACGCGGTGGTTTACAACTTGCATGTGCCTGGTTCATTATCCACACCGTGGACTCTCCCAGTTGGTGCCCCTTTGCATTCTGAAAAGGTCGCTGAAGCTTCTTGGCTAAGTGCTTGGGAAGAAGTATGTGACGATTTTGGAC